GTTCGATGGGATGGCAAGTCTAGGAAGAAAAGTCCTTTTCATGTGGTGTAGCTCGGCTCGCTCAGGTTCTTATCAGTCCCTCCGGCGCTGGAAAGTGCCGAGGCCCAGGCCCCGGTGGGCCACAGGCGTGAGCTCCCGGGGTTTGGCTGGGTGTTCAGTCCAGAGCAGGCTTGCACAGATCCAAGAAAATTGTGAAAAAAAAACAAACAAAGGTCCAGGGAACTCCTCTGCCTCAGCTAGCTAAAACTAACTAAAAGCCTGAGAGAAGCTCTGTCCCTCTGTCTGTCCGTGCTGCAGACACCACAGTCCAGGAGCGGGATGTGTGGGAGTGATGTTTTTCCTTAACACAAACTGCGCGCTTCTTCTTCTCCCTCTCTTGCTCTAAAAGCCAGTCTTAAAGGTTCAGAACTTAATATATAACATAAACCAGACGATTGGGGATACCAGTATCATAAAGTCACCCCAGGACAGCTGCTCATGAGAAAGAATATCAGAATCAAAGCACTAGACTCTTGTGGCTTTCTGGTACATGACTGTATACTCTATTGTCTATCATATTTGTCTGAAGAGAAAGTTGTAGCCAGCCACCCAATCTCCTGTCTCTCTTTAACTCTTTCAGATGGATTATGCTATTTTTTAGATTGTTTTGGGGGTGTATTGGTTTTGCATGGCCAAACTTTGGTAGTGGGGGTGCTACAGGGGTAACTTCTGTAAGAAGCTGTCAGAAGCTTCCTCCATGTCCAACAGTCCCTGGCAGCTCCAAAGGATGGACCTGCTGCTGGCCAAGGCTGAGCCAAGCAGAAATGGTGGTAAGGTCTCTGTGCTAAGAGATTTGAGAAAAAAAAAAAGTTATTGCACGGTTGTAATTATGACTACATGAAAACAGAGTGAGAACATGCAAGAGGAACAGCTCTGTACACACCAAAGTCAGTGGAGAAGCAGGGGCAGGCAGTGCTCCAGGCACTGGAGCTGGGATTCTCCTGCAGCCCATGGTACAGACCACGGTGAGACAGCGGTGCCCCTGCAGCCCACGGAGATCAGTGGGAGTGCAGGGATCCCCCTGCAGCCCATGGAGGAGACCCACCTGGAGCAGGTGGATGTCTTTGAAGGGGCTGTGACCTCTTGGGAAGTTCACACTGGAGCAGGGACACGCAGACCCACGGAGAGTGGAGCCCACACTGGAGCAGGTTTTCTGGTAGGACTTGTGACACCGTGGGGGACCCACAGTGGAGCTGCCTGTCCTCAGAGGACTGCACCCCATGGAAGAGTGAGCCACACTGCAGCAGTTCACAGAGAGCTGTTGCCCATGGGATGGACTCATGTTGGAGAAGTTCATGGAGAACTGTCTCCCATGGGAGGGACCCCGCACGTTGCAGCAGGGGAAAGAAAGTGAGCAGGAATAACGTGTGAGGAACTGATCATAACCCCCATTCCCTGTCTCTTTGTGCCAGTGGGGGAGGACATAGAGGTGAGAAGGAGGGAGGGATGCAGGAGAGGTATTTTTAAGGTCTTATTTTACTTCTTATCCTGCTCTCATTTTTTTTAGTGAAAAATTCAATTAATATCTCTAATTAGAGCCTGCTTAGCCCATGATGTTATTTCATGAGTGATCTCTCCCAGTCCTTACCTCAACCCATGAACCCTTCATTATATTTTCTCTCCCCTGTCCAGCTACAGAGGTGAGTGGGAGAGCATCTTTGGTGGCTGCCTGGCATCCAGCCACAGTCAATCCACTCCATGGGGCTAAACATGTAGCCTGTCAGGTCTTTGTTTGTTTTTATGGCCACAGAAGTGAGAGGACAAAATCCCATTCCCTTGGTTGCTTCTCTTGAAATATTTGAACAGTGTTATCATTTTAATATGCCTGGTGTTATCAAGTTAGAATCGTCATTTGCAAGCTCTTGTTAATTGTCATGGAACAGGGGAAAGAAATAGTCTTATACTTGATGGTGATCAAAATTTTGCACTGTAGTTCTCATTAAAAGAGTTGTATTGCTTATGGCAAGGAGCCACTCCGATATTTATTATCTTTTCAGAAGGCAGCACCCTGCAAAATACAATTTCTCTGTTATTTTCAAAGTGGAAAAAAAAGTGATTAAAGGCAGTGAAGCAGGTGCTTCTGAACTTCCCAGAGAGCAAAAGAGACAAGAGTAGTATTTGCACAGACTCATCCTGCTTCTGTCAATTACATGCTATAAACAAGTTTCCTTTGCTTTGCTCCTTTATCAAAATACGTGTTTGGTGTTCAAAATATCACTATGTCTTCTCAGTCTGGGAGAGAAATGGGTTATGCTTCCTTGAGACAGAGCTTGAAACAATTTAGTTGTAAAAAGATTATTTCAACTTTTAGAAAAAGATCTGATCAAAATATTGAACTCTTCTATATAATCACTAGTACTGATTGATGGTGATTACGTATTGAAGTAGTGTTGACCACAGTGCTAATGGCCACAGAATACTTTGTTTTTTTAATTATGGTAATAACAAGACTTTGATTGAACCATGAGAAAACTGTTAAATTCAAATTTAATACTCTAATGCTTAAATTCAAGCTTAATACCATACCTCTAATGCTGATCAGGTGGGATTGTTTTTCAAGTTGTTTCTGAAGCACAGTTACTTTTTCTGTTGAACTCCATTCTTTTGGCACTGCTTCCTTGTTCATAGTAAAAATCAGACATTTTGACATTTGGCTGTAATGCTGCTACTTTGTTAAAATAATAAAATCATAAATTATTAGGTTAGTGTTCTATAACTGTAAACCAAAATGAATGAATGTGCTGAGCATGGAGTTAAAACCTGAAAGTTTGCTCTTCTGCAGAGCTTCTCAAGTTTATAATTTATTTTCCCCTCCTCCGTGTGATGGTATTGGAGCCAATAGAGTTTCCAATGCTATGCGATGACTTCTGAAATGAAGTTTTGGTTATGAAGTATTTGGTCTGGACGCTATCATTATGATGGTAGAAGTCTGATTATTGGTAATCTGTATTTGTTGCAGAAAATTTAGGTATACATAGTATCTTCCCTAGCTGCTTTCAGTCAAATAAGAAAAGTAACTGGAATAAAAATACTGTAGTGTTCAATTCAGTTCAATGTCCTAATATTTTTAAACTTCAAAACATAAAACTTAATTTCCTGTTCTTGTTACCTGTTTAGTTGATTAAATTTGAATATTACTAAGACTGAAGCAGTAAATTATTTCTTGCAGAGATGTGCAATGATGACTCATACTCAGAGACTGGAAAAATTCCTTCTCTTCAGGCCTGCCAGTTCTCAGTATATGTCCATTAGACTTCTTAGAAGATTTTAGCAAATTGCTGTACTCAGCTTGGACCACTAATAGCATGTCACGTGTGAGAGCAGTCTCTCAGAGCTTATTTACTTAATAAAGGCAGAAAGAGTCAGATACTAGAGCAACACAGAAAAACCCAACAGTAGTAACAGACATCTGGATAAACAGCTAATTTCATTACCTCCATCTAGAGATTTGTTGCAGTAAATGTGTGTAGAGATTATTTAATAAAGTACATTTCTATACTTCTCATATCCAAATGATTCCAATATCCTTGATACCTTAGTGCACTGCAACTGAATGACATCATATAATTCTATGGAAGGAACAGAAGTGACAGAAGGAGAGCATTAGATACAAGAATTAAATTAATAAGTGTACAACTAGAAAATTATGGCAATGCTGGAAGGCCAAGATGAATTTCATAAGATGATGTAACATGTAACGGATACACTTAGTGGATTCAGTAAAGATACGACACATCCTATGCTAAAAGAGAGAAATGAAAACTGTTTTAGGATAATCTGTTCATAGGGAGAATTAAGGAGAACAGAGTGATGAACTAGTAGTGTGATTCTCAGACTTTGGCAGATGTCAGTCTATTTTAATATTCTGTTTTGATCAATACAGTTTGTTCTGTTGGGTTGTTTTTTGGTTTGGTTTTTGTTTTTTTTTTTTTTGGAAGGTATCTAAGAAACTGTGCTGTATTGGTTGCATATCTTCATAATCTAACCGAGCGGTAAAAGTTTAAAAATAAAAACAAAACATTGTGCATTTCATGTCACAACAGAAGGAAGGAGTGGCATGCAGGAATGGGGAAAAATGGTGAAGGAGAGAACTGTGAATATTTGACAATGGTAACAGTGCCAGATAATTTTATTGTCAGATGCCAGCCAGATTCTTCATCACAGAAATTAGATGCATTTCAAGTAATATGGATCATCTGTCTGGCATGTCACATATTTTGGAGATTTTTACAAGCAACAAGTATTCAAATTCTGCCACTACCTTAACAATACTTCTGTCATTTTCAAGGGAAACAATGACAAAAATCTAAAGCCTGATTTTAATATACTCCGTGATGGGGAATAATCTCTTTGTGGTCTTTTGCCTCTGTAATAGGGTAGGGCATTTAGTCTATAGAAATGGTGTGTTAGATGGCACTCCTTTAGCTCAAGCTGGTGTTAATTTCATGATGTGTGGTTGTGTATTACTTTGAGAGAAATATCAAAAAGTAGTTGTAACTGCCTCTGCATCACGGTTCTTCCTTATTTCCTTTTGTTTTGGAGCATGAGTGTAGCAGTTTTGTGGCAGGGAGTGTCAGCCATACAGCTCTTCTCATTTCCTTAGAAAAGGCGACCTAACAGTAAAAATAACCGTAAAAGAGTATCAACCATCAGGCTCTGCCTTAAATAAATTAGAAACACACTTTCCTAGTGTCCACTGAAGATCCTGTTTTGTGATAGACAAGCTTATCTCTTCTAGGTTGAACCAAAAAATAGTACCTATCAGACAATATTTGTTTTCAGAAATGAAGACTAAAATGTTGGAGGTTTCATCTTTTTATGAAAAAAGAGGATTTTTTTTAAAGTTGTCGTGTTTGTTCTTATTAGCAGAAATCTGCTAATGCCTCTTCTTTCTAATTTTCTTTTATTCAATTGTCAACTCAAATAACAATTTTTTTCTAAGGAGTAACTAATAATGAAACAATATTTTACTTCCCAAGTTTACTTAAATATTAACTTTATTCTTGGCTTAAATGCATGCAAACTAGCTTTTGGGTAGAGATTAACTTTTATTGCAGTGGTTCCTAGCCACAGCTCCTGAAAGTGAGGATTTATTGTGTAAGGCATTATATAAATTCATGGCAGATACTTCCTTTCTCAAATTGCTTGGACACTAATTAGATGAACAAATTGAAGGATTTAAGAAAAATGGATGTAGGTACATATTAACATGGAAATATATCCACAGACTACTTTGTGAATTCATAAAGGAACACCACAGACCTCAGGTGTTTACAGGCTCATTGAAGAAAAAGGCAAAAGTTAGTAGATTGTTGACCTGAGATGTTAATTGTCAAGAAGCCTTTACTTAGAGATGTTATTTCTGACTGTATTTTTGGCGCTTGGTTAACTTATATTAAAATACAGTATCTTAATATAAGTTAAATACAGTATCTTAAGGGAGCAGCACTTTTTAATTTATTAATGTTACAGTAGGATTGTCAGTTTAAATATATGTGTCCAGGAAGCATGTATTAGAATTGGATTGTTTTTTCTTATGTGGAGAAAGGAGGTTTCTGATGTCATAAATATTTTATTTCCTTTTTACCAAAGCCTGTCTTCTGACTTCCATTCAGAATGTGGACCAGTTAGCCTTTCCAGAGTGTCAGTCCTTATTCTCTTGTTTCATTTTCAGTCTTGACATCAGTGAAACAGGCTGGTATGGAACAACCTGCTTTTTCAGAAGCAACTTCTTTTCAAGGATCCACACATGGTCCAAGAGAAGTCAGCAAAACCATAGTGACCGAATTAACTTTACCAGATGAAAAAGTCACTCAAATAGAAAATATTCTTGATCTCTGGAGTGGAAGTCTTAAGGTATTTATATTGTATGGAATCATTAAAAGCATCCACAGATATCATGCAGATGCAGTGTGATTGCTGGGAGAATGGTGCATTTTGTTGTTTTTGCATATTGCCCATAAGCATATGTAGCATAGAATATCTTGTTTCAAAAACTTTGGAATAACTGTCTCCATTAGGGATGTTCTAATATCATGATTCAATAGTTCACTGTGTCATCTCTTTACAGCCTGTTTAATGAAGGTATCACTGTAAATATGTCTCCTTAATTTTGCTAAGTGTTTTAAGATTAAAATAATAGAGAGGAGGGAATAATTTAAACTCATTGCATTACTGTCATCCTTTCAACTTTTCAGACAAATATTCTGACTGAACTGAAAAACTGGAAACTTGATTTGATTCAACAGCACAAGCTTCAAATGAGACAAGAGAAAGAGAAATATGCCGCACATTTGAAACAACTGCAGAATGAGATGGAAAACTTGAAGGAGTTACTTCATACTTACGAAATCTCTGTTAGGAGGAAAGATGAGGTAGTAACTCAATTTCATATTTTAACAGTTCCTCTCTGTTTAAAAATACCCACACTACATTTTTTGGTCCATCTCTTTGAACAATGTCTTTTTTGAAGCAAGTAACAAAGAAGGAAATAATATATTCGGACTATAGTACAAAAATAATTATTGTTGCTGACGGGGTTGTCTGTACTAACAGTGAAAACACATTATATAAGCATACTTTACATTGTTTGCTTCTTAAATCTAGAGTCTATTCTTGTTTCTTATTTATTTCATAAAGATCACACAGGCTTAGGTGAGCCTATTAGCTGTCACACTTTAAAAGCCTCTAACTTTTCAATTATTTGATCTGATTTCCTCAATTTTAAATGGGCAGCAGTCTTGTAAATGTTGAAGAGTCTCTGTTTTATTCCTAGGAATACTACATTTGTATATGTACTTAAGACTGGACATTTGAGAGTCCCTGGTTTACACTTTCTTGATGTCAACAGCGTAAACAACTTCAAAATTAACTGGAACTGTGAATATGGATATAAAATCTTGGCAGTTTTGCAATCACATAACATAACATTGAGTCTTACTGCTACCCTGAGCATTTAACCTAGTACTTGAGAATAAGTAATGGAGTTTGGGTTTCTAATTCCTACTTACATTTTCAAAAAACATACATTGCAGGAGTTAAAATATGAATAAGATGGTGTTGTGTGTCCATTTGGAAAACAGACTAATCTTACAGACCAAGCAAATATAAATGTTGTAACATTACAGTAACAGAATTAGTCTTGTACAATGTAAGTAGTACCTATGTGCATGGTTATTTCAGCCTATACCTTTCAAACATCTAATTCTCAGTTATACTTAATGTGCCATAATTCTCAATGATACCTTGAAAGCTCTATTTTGTTTTCTGCTGCCAAAGAAATTATTTTTTCAGCCAATTTTCAGTTCAGTTCTGTTTCTAACAAGAAATAATAATAAATAAATAAATAATTTTAATAGAAAATTACTATTGCTGCCACCTGAATGGAAGGTGGCTGTGCTTCCATGCATTCATATGTCACTCCATAATTACTGAAACTGCTGTATCCTGATGTGGACATAAACCAAGATCCATCAGCCTCACAAATATTACAAGTATTAGAGATTCTTATTTCATATTGTAAATCTCAGATGCTTTTAATTTACGAAAATGTGCTTATTAACAGAAATAGACTTAGGCTAAGACTTCTAGTGGGTGGCAGCATGTATGCAGCATTAAAAATTGATTTTTATGACACTTTTTCAACAAAAGTAATTAATATATCAGTTTGCTTTCTATTTTAATTTCAAGTATTCATTTCACTGAGATATGTTCAATGATTATTACTTGTAACAAATACAATATAATGTTAACATATGCTACCATGTATTATTATAAAATGTTGTTCTTGGCAATATTTATGCAGTAGTTAAAATAACTTTACATTATTCCCCAAAGTCCTAAGATAGATCACTACTGACACTTGGAGTTGCTCATATGTGGCTGATGGCAGAATCTAGCTTAAGAATTTAGGCAGAAATATGAAGTAATATTCAGAGTTGCAGTACCAAATTTGTATGGTTTAATTATTAATTGGGGAACTTCAGCTGTTTACGTGTACTCATTAAATTTAGAGATTGCTGGTAAAAGTCCCCAGTTGCAGTCTCTATCCAGTACTCTGTCTTACCTCTCAAATGTTTTAATTGCTATAAGCCTATAGAATATCTTTAATGAGAACTTCTGAAGAGAGTAACAATTCTTAATAAGATTTTTAATAAGCAACAACTTAGCTTGTTTATTCTGTTCAGACAAGTAAAACAAACTTCTAATATAAATGTTTCTGATTTATCAAAATTCTCTTTGAAATAAGAGATTCTTCTGATGTTATGCTACAGTAACATTTAATTATGAGAAAGTAGCTAAGAAATCAGCAAATGTAGGAGGAAATAACAATTCAGTTGAACTTCTTCTAAAGCTACACAACGGAAGTGTCACAATTTGAGTGTTGAAGTCACAGGAATTTTACTTCTGATTTGAACTCTGATTATTGTGTCTTACTTGGTTAGAGTAAGGGAAAGTTTCAGTAGAAAGCATCTGTTAAAAGCAAGTGCTTTAAGTGAAAAATAACTGACAAAGTACATTCTATTTGACCTTACAGTGATCACAGCTATTTTAACAGTGTTAATAAATATTTTTGCAGGTAATTACTAACTTAACCCAAGCATTAGAAAAGCAAACGGACAGAGTAGAGTTGATGAGAAAGTTTACACTCTGGCGGATTCAGCATGTTAAAGCCAAACAAGAGGTATGTGCACAAAATCAAAATGCAATGAAAATGAAACCTCTGAACTCAAGAGCCAGAGCTGCTGCAATTCCTTTTAGAGTTTGAAGAAATTATGGTCTTTCTATTTTGATGTGTTTGACAGTGTCAAACAGTTTGAAAAGATCAGCTCTAAAAAGAGTGTTGCTGTCAGAATGCTCTCTGGAATGGGAAGAAAGCAATGTCTGCTGACGATTTTGATACAGAGTTGAATAGTAGGGTTGTTTTAAGGTAGTTTTTTAAACAGTCCTTAAGTCTAAATTTATTCAAAAGGTAAGTTTTTTAAACTATCTGCAATCTTTTTGACTGCAAGTTTTGTATGATTCCTGCAGTGAATCCAAATGTGCCACATATCCAGCAAATGGCTTCACACATCTCTTTACATTGTGTGTGAGGTTGTTGTTTGAGTGTCATTAAACTTAGAGTAAGACCACTGTTGTGTGTAGCCTAGGAGTTCACAAACATGGTTTGTCTTGGTGGGGGTGGTAATGTACCATGGCACACGTGCAGAGGCAGCACTGAGCTGCTGCTGCTGCTTGTGTAACACTTCACTTGAGGACCTGTAACTCAGTTAAGAGGTTTCTGCTGTGGTCTATGTTATAAACTGTAAAACAATCATCCACAGTGGAGTGCCAAATTTTTTATCAAGCCTAAACTTTCATATGATATGGTTGTATTTACTTCCTAAGGAGTATGCAGTTAGAATGGCAGATGCACATTTCCGTACAGCTTTGATGAAAAAAGTGTGGGCAGCATGGCGCTCTCTTAGTGAAGAAAGATGGAAAGACAAAGTAGCAAAAGCCTGTCAGTTAAGGGCAGAAGATGTCTGTGTTCAACTCACCAATGATTATGAAGCCAAAATTGCAGAGGTAAAATAAATTTTTTTTCCCTCTTTTGCTCCTTGACTCCAAATCCCTGTCCCTCCAAGTATCTCTTTCTCAGCAAACCTAACAAACATGAATGTTTTCCAGCAGAACAGGGCTCCCAAGTATGTGAGAAGATGTGAATGGATCTAAGATCTCTGTTATGTTTCCAGACATAACTTTTTTCCCTGCATCTGATATAAAATGTTGCCAATCTGCATGCACAGGTGACATACATTGGGCTTTCCTGAAACAAGGCACATTTATGTTTGCCTACCAATGGGAATGCCATTTGTTTTCTAACAACATCCTGTTAGTATGGGCTATGCATTTTGAGATCTTAATGAAGAAGACAATGGAAAGAGAAGACCATTATTACTTTGAATGATCATAATGAGTACAATGTTTTTTTCTGTAATAGCTACTCTGTTAAAGGCTGAAATTAAGTTTGATTTTTCTTTAGCTTGCCGATTAAGCTTGTTAAAGAATTTTCAGAGCTAAAGGTGAAATTGTCAACTGTGGATTGGTGCATGCTAAGTAATCAGTTTTAAAATACAACTTCTAAGAGATTTGTATTTCAGCAAGAAATTAAACCTAGAATTTTAAAAACAGGCTTACCAAATGTGTCTTAGGAGAACAAAAACTGTAAGTAACAACCTGCTCTTTTCTCTTCTCAGCATTTTTAGTTTTTTACAGTATCTAGAGAAGAACTGGTGATAAAAATTTACCCTTATACTTAAATAATTGTCTGAGAATGCTTGCTCTTCTATTGAATGAGCCCATGTTTCTGCAGAGATCTGGGTTGTGCCAGATGCCAATTTCTAAAAGACAAAAACTTGCAAAATATATTTCTGCATAGGTAGAATCTGACGGTCCTTTTCAATAGTCTTGTCCTTGATACACTCTACTATTAATATTGTGCTGTACTACCAAGAAACTACTATGAGCTGTTCATCTCTGGTGAAGCAGAGATTTTCAAGGGAAATATACTATATTTTTAAATATAATAAATGATTTTGAAAGTTAATTGATGAATGTGTTTGTAGATTGCATTAAGAAATCAGAGAGACCTGTTTCCTCATTCTGTTTCATAGTTAACTGCTGCTTTGGAACAGACAAAAGCTGAGATTCTGCGACTGCATAGTGAAAGAGATCAGTATGAAGAGACCATGAAGAAAGCCTTTATGCGTGGTGTATGTGCTTTGAATCTGGAAGCAATGAGCATGTTCCAAGGCAAGGACAATAGGCCGGAGCCTGGTTAGTATGAATAACAAGTTTAATCTGGTAGTGTGTGTGTATTTTTGTTGGATTTTTTTGGGTTTTTTTGTTTGTTTGTTTTTTCTTTTTTTTTTTTTTTTTTTTAATTTGAGAATTTTTGGCCATACAGAGTTTATTAAACTCTTAGTGCTTTAGAATAAAGCAGTAGTCCAGCTGAATATGTTGAGAAATACTCCGGTGCTGGACTTCATACTGCTTCATACTGCTGTAGCTGAAAGGAGGAACGTGTTCTCTTCATCCCACATTGCTGGGAGAGGGTTAACATGCAGCTGAAGGCAGAACAAGAAGTGAGAGGTGGCAAATTTCTTAAAATACGAGGTTATGGAGCAGTGAAGATGAAATCCTGAAAATTTCTTTATGCTCTGGGATCTCAGTGTACAATGAATCAGCTTTTCCCAGACAGCTCTCCCTTCTCTCTTAATCTTGCTTTTGAATGTAAAAAGGGCAAGCAGATCTCTCAGGTTCTGTATTTAGTAGTAACTCCATGCCAGAACAGGAAGCACCAGTCTATTTTTATCAGCAGCATACCCGTAAAAGCTGTGCAGCTACACAGGGAAGAGCTGCACGTGCTTATGGATGTAATGAAATCACTCCCTCGGAGTGAGGCAATCCGTAGCAGTGGGAACATAATCATGCTGGTGCAGCAACCTACGTTAAAGAGAAAATAGCTGCAAGAGTGCCACAGCTATACATGTGGCTCGACCGCCAGCTGAACTGAAAGCAGTTGTTCATAGCCTTAGACAAGTAACTTCCATTGCTAAATTAAACAATCTTGCACAGAAGTTTCTGAACCACTTTAGAGGAATTCTTCACCAAAAAAGGTAGATAGGAAAAGGAAATAAAAACCTGAAGATGTAAGAGGATACTTACCTGAGCTGCTGTCTAAGCCTGTAAAACATAAGTGCTTAGTGTGTAAAACTTATTTGTGCTTAATAGTGGTATGTGTGCTTAAGAAATTAATATGAAATTAGCTAAGTGTAGTAGCTGTGTGCTAGTAAAAATTTAGGATCAGTATTTGTAGAAGGTTAAGAATGAATGATTTCTTGAAGATCTTGAGTTTGGGAATAAAATTACAGGGCATTTCCCAAGTATTTTATTTGTCACCATGTTACTAATAAAGAATTATTCTGTCTTGAAGCATTATCTTTTATTTGTTTGTTGTTTTCAAAAACATGCAACAGAGACAACAGGTCTCCCTGATAATGAAGGGTAATTGGTGTGAAAGCATTGTTTTTGTATACCTATAAAAATAAGAATAAGTAGTAAGGAAACGAAGAAAACTGAGCTCTAGAATAGTTGTGACCAACCCTCGAGTTTCATGGACCAAAGATTTTGCTTGATTTTTACGAAGAAGCTGGAACTGATACTCTACACCATCACATCTAAAGACTTTGCTGTGCTGGATGTTAGAGTATCTGTAGCTCATTTTATTGTGTGCCCACTATTATGCTTTTTTTATCAGGCTGCATAACATCTTACAGACTCTGTGAGAGTCCTTGGTCCCAAGTAGGTCATCAGGTTCCACCACCTCTGATACCACCTTCTCCCCTGCCCCAGGCATACTATATTTTTCTTACAGCCAGATGGTGGTTTTAATGAAGTTAATTACATAATTATTTAATATATTTGAACAACCACTGATCTTCATTCTCAATCAGGTAGAACAGTTATCAGGACACTGGAGGACTGCAAACATCAGAGAAGATGATTGTGATTTGTTTCTAGTCTTTTAATCTGTGGACATCAAAACTTACATGTGCCAGAATCTGTCAGCAATTATAAATTTATATGAACACTGCAGTGCCACCTACTGTATATAAATATAAATGGATATAAAAAGCAGAATTTCACCCCTTTACAAATTTATTATTAGGTTATTTTAATATATATTTAATAGACACACAATCTACAGGTAAAATACATATCTCATTATAATGTATTTTTTAATAGTGTGCATGTATCACAACCTTAATGGCTTCATAATATTTAGTGTCAGTGTTGATGGAGTTAAAGTTATCTACCTCATTTGCTGACTTTTTTTTAATTAATAGTATATTAAGATTATTTTAACTTATTTATATATTCAAAGGAACACTGAAGCTGCAGAAATTAATAACTTTTGCTTATAAAAATCCTAGCACTGTTTTTCTTCAGTAACATGAATCAGATCTGACTGGTCTATTACTGCATTAGTCTAGTCTGTGCTTAAGCTTAATGTGTGTGTACACCCATAAATATGTACAAAATGCATATTCTGGCATGCTTTTACTCTTGATGTCTACAAGTATTGCACAGATTTGAAGGACTTTCTTTTTATTTTTCCTGCTTATTTCAGCTAATGAAAAAAACCCAAACACAATTACCACACGGTGTCACTCTAGTTCCTGGAATGAACAAATTTCTTTTGTCCTGGAACTCCTGCTAGCATCAGCTTCTTCAGAAACAGGGGACTAAATAAGAATACCTCTCTCTCCTTCCTTTAAGAAAGTCTGTATTCTAAAAGGAAAAGACTGGAAGTGTTTAGAAAAGAGACTGGGCTTATGTCTGCAGATCTGGCATCCCTAGTGATGCCATTTATGTCACATTTTGGGATAAAAGTATCCCAGATGGATTTTGTTCAAGTTTATGCTTGCCAACCTACCTTGATGAGGGGAGGTGAGAGCTATAGGGTGGCTGTAGATTGTCCCAGCCCTACAGCCAGGATGAGGCCACTGTCCAGCAGTTACATGTGGGGATGAGATGCTGCTGCTAATGCGTAACATCTTATTTTACTGCCAGTAAGCTCCTTTAAGGATCTTGTGCCCTCACAGAAGTCCAGTATGAACTTTGTGTTTTCCTGTCTTAACTGGATTTTGTCTCTTAGAGTACTTCTTGCACACTGGTTTAAATTTTGGCAAGCAGTAGGCAGGACCGCAGTTCTTTGCACTACAAGTAGGTGACATGTGCCATGGGGGTATTGAGAAATAACAGAGAAACAGGCCCCTTGGAAAACATATACAAACATCTCAAAAGAGGGTAAAATGCAGAAATGTTTGTTTATATCTGTCTACCTTACCTACCTGCTTTTTTTAATTAGATTATACAGAAATCCCAAAGAAACACTAAAATTTTTGTTGTAACTTACCTTCCCCCATATCCCCACCCCTTAGGGTTAGCTAGATCATGTACTTATCCCATTACATTGTGTTTCTAATAATAGATACAGGAAGCAGGAGAAGTGATAATGCAGCCACTGGTGCAGGAAGGCCACCTCCTTCACAATATAGTCAACCTTCACCACCACCTCCACCAACAGCTTCTCTTCACATGGAAAATATGGTAAGCATGTGGCTGGAACAGAATTGTATTCCCAAAAAGAAATTACTTGACTGAGGCTTTTTTGAAGAGAGTCCAGATCTAAAAGGAAATGTGCAGGAGTGTTCAGACTGCACTGTGAAAATGAAGTGACTGGGGCATGGCTGCTGTGGCTTGCTGTACTTTCATTAAGCTCTTTTTTTTTATTTTAGTGAAAATGCATTAAGCTAATTAAGACAAGGTCGCTATAATAAACATAATTTTCTCTCTAAGATTCTCTCTGGAAAAAAGAGCTGTTAAGAGGGTTTTTTTTAAAAAAAACTGAATTTAATATACTCTGGAAAGATGAAAAGCTGGCTTGACTTCAAACTTCTTTTTTAGGGGCATAACACATACAGACGTTGAGGGAACTCAGCTTATTGTACTGTCATATCAACTTGGCCAGATCATCCTCTAATAGCCTGGTTGTTTTGGACCTGCTCTGGAGTCATCCTGAAAACTTTGCCACTGTAGAACAGTATCATGCTAGAGAGTAGGTTAGGACAGAGACGATGTGCTTGCCTCTCTCCTGACTTCTCATTCTAATAGTGACAAATGTTATTCACACCATTTCTACAGTTTTTAGACAAGTGATTCTAAATTAGCAATAAACAGTAACACTAAAGAGATAATATCTGCAAAGACATTACAATTAAAAGGCTAATTGGGATAGTCAAAAAACTAACTATCTAAGGAGTAAAACTGTATTTTCTAGAAAGCAGAAGTAATACTCATTCTGTGTAAACTCTGGTTTCATTTCAGTTTTCTAGCCACCTGGCTCATGCAAGCACATCTGAGACCAGACTAGATTCTGATTCTCCAATAATCATTGCTAGCACAACATCAGCATCGGGTTTGACATCAACTCAAAAACTGGTAACATGCTAAAGTTATCTTTTTTTCTAATTTTAAGGCATAACCATAACAAATATTAGTTTGGGTATTGTTATTTGTGCATTTCTCAGAGCAATACAGATATGTAGTTGAGGATACTGACAGAGTTCACATACCAGTATGAAGATGCTAGCTTGCAAATGCTCGTTTATGTTACATAAACTCATTTATGCTAGGAGCAGTTTTAAATTCTTTCTGTAGATAGGGCAGTGTGGCAAAATGAAGAATAGAAGTGCCTGTACACTTTGGTATAGTCAACAGGAACAATTGGCGTTTGACTTGATAACCTTTAGTTATAGAAGGTGCTCTGTCTTGTTATCCCGCTCTTTGAAATTTCTCCCTTACTCTCTTTTCTGTGCTTTGTGCTAAACTGCCCTACTTTCTTTTCCACATTTGACGTAGTTTGCTATCAGCTGTCAGAGAAAGTTGCATTATTGTATGCATGAGAGCTTTTTATTATCTGCTATGTCACTGCTAGAAAGGATTTCCACAGTGACAGAAGTACCTTCAGCTGTCACTCAAGCATGCAATCAGCAAGCAAAGCTAAACGATCCATGCTGCTTCATTTTTGTCAAATTAGTCTTACTTCCCTCAGGACAGAAGTAATTTGCTTGAAATGCTATCTCACGAGAGAAAAAAAAATGGAGTAATCCTGGTTGCAGCCAGGTGGAGCAAATTCAGTCCTGTGTAATGTAACTGCATTACCTTCAACATTACATGTTCCATTTGGGCATGTGGCAGATAAAACTGAGCAGAAACACTAGAGCATTGCAAATAATGTTTAGAATTGTTTACCAATTAATACTTAATTTATTGATAGCCCACAGCAAAAGTAATAACATCTGCACAACAGAAAGCAGGAAGAACAATCACTGCTCGAATCACAGGCCGAGCTGATACGGGACAAAAATCCAGAGCTTCTGGGAGTTTAACAGTGATGGGAGTTGCTCCACCAATGAGTTCAGTCATTGTTGAGAAACATCATCCAGTCACTCAGGTAAATCAGATTACACTTCTTGAAGTATTTTTATTACAACATGTCTGGTAATAATTTGGAGAAAAGTTATCTTGTGAAGAGGTATCAGACAAAGCTCAGATTTGAGGCCTATTGAAAACAGCAAACAGTACTTACTGCCTTTGTGTAGAAGGCACTGGTGAGATGTCATGGTTTAACCCCAGGCAGCAGCTCCACACAGCCCCTCACCCACACCCCCACTAGAGAGTTTGGGAAAAGAATCAGAAGGGTAAAAGCTGTAGAACTCATGGGTTGAGAAAAAGGTAGGGAAAGCAAAGGCAGTGCAGACAAACAAAACAAACCAAGGAATTAATCCAGTGCTTCCCATGAGCAGGCAGGTGTTCAGCCATCTCCAGAGAGTCAGGCCCCATAATGCAAAATCGTTACTTGGGAAGAGAAATGACATCACCACAAATGTCCCCCCCCTTTCCTGCTCCTTTCCCCCACTTCATACACTGAGCTTGGTGCCACATGGTCTGGAGTCTCCCTTTGGTCAGTTTGGGTCACCTGTCCTGGCTTTGTCTCCTCCCAACCTCACAAGCACCCCCAGTCCCCTCACCAGTGTGGCAGTACCAAAAGCAGAAAAGGCCCCCATTTCCTGCCATGACTCACAGTTGTGTGGCTTGCTCATAGCTTTCAAGAATTGGGCTCCTAAGCAGAAATTAATATTTAAATTGTATGTTCTTAGGAGTTTAGAGATTCAGTGTGGCATTTATTTCATTAAGAACAATTTCTGGATTCAGATTTTGTCACTAGTGTGACAAGGAAAGCACCTGAACTACTGTAACAAAAACTGACTTCTGAAAATGTAATGAATGTGACAGCCCTAGAGATATATTCTGTATACCCATTTTGCAAATAAAAATCTAAGTCAAGTATTTGTCTTGAGTTAATTTAAGAGAGAAGAGAATTTACCTTGATTAAAAGTAGAATGACTACTGTTTATTACACTAAGGTGGCTAGTTTTATGGGCAGAAAATTAATTCTTGATAAAATTGCAAACCTTTTCTTTTCAAAGGTCTTTCAGAGACTGCCTCGTAGCAATACTTCAAAAGAAAAGTTGTTAGCGCTACAGGGAAAATTGTGAACAGTATGGTAAAAAAATAAAACAAACCAACCTTGAAATAAAATTGAAGTGATAAAAGGTCAAGCTACTTAGTTAACTGGAAGTGTAGCACTTTGTATTCTAAAAGCGTATTACAGATAAGAAAGGAAAAAGACTTACTCCTTCCGTTAAATGACCATTTATTTTTTCCTTATTGATAATTGTATTTCAGTTTGCTGGGTTGCAGGTCTTTCTTTTTAAACTACAGCTCACCTAGAGCTATTTTAATGTGAATTTTTGGTGCCATTAATTGTTTTGATGTATCTCATTACTTTTCAGCAAACAATATCACAAGCCATTGCTGCTAAATATCCTCGAACTGTGCTTCATTCTTCTGGCTCTACTTCTTCAAGACCTGCAGGACAAGCTGGGCGAGTGCTTCAGGGCCAAACTCATACCATTGTTCAGTCAATAAAAGTTGTTGACTGACTGACTGTCTTTCTCACCAGTTGGGGTTTTTAATCAAGGTATCTCTTCCTGGTCTTTTCAGATTTGATGCAGTAAGGCCTAAAGTACATATCATGTTTTTAACCTTTTCTAAAAAAAAGGAAGGTTTTTCTAAGTAAAAATGCTTTTATAATAAAACCTGGAGTGGGGGGGAAAAGTAATTGAACTGTTGTTCTACCTCCAAACTTTTATTATTAAGACAAACACTTTTTATTTAAGGAAGCTTTTGCACACTTAAATAAAGAATACAATGTGATTTTTGTCTGAATCTCTTTGATTAATCCCAATGATACTAACATCTATGTTCAAAAGAAAATTAAATGTCTTTTTGTTACAAACACTTTTAGTTTCTTATGCAAGTAAGTTGACATGCACCTTAATTATATCCTACAAGAGTGTATTTAAATGGAAACCAGCAGGGTGGCATCCTCTACCCCCAGGGTCCAATTTAGGCTAAATGAGGTACCCAGTCCATCAAATTCTTAAACATTTTAATTTTCCAAGCTAATGTTGTAGAACTTGATGAATACTGTAGGGTTCCCAGCATCTAGGATCATTCAGATCCTAGGTGGACATTGGCAAGTATTAATTCAAGACATGAACAAGAAATAGGCAAATAATTGCTAGATGTGTTAAGTATTAAATATTGGATGCTCTTTTGGGGTCATGCCGTGATAGAAAATTCTGCAGCTAGACACACGTGGTGTTTACACATGACATTTTTGTATTTCTTCACTACGTAAATCAAATGCTGCAGTAGAAAGATTTGTTATAATCCTAGCAAGAATTTATAAAAACTTGAATCCTAAATGAGGCCAGATGCCAGCTTATTTCTGCAAGTGTTAATTGATTTGTACACATAACTTTCACATATTAAATTTAATCTTTTCTTATAGAAAACATCTTACTTACATTTCACACCAAACACCAAGTAGCTTAACTTGCAGTTCCAATACCGAATTACTTTATCAGTGTTAGGTTAGAAATTGTAACTGGTGAGTCTTGCTTAGCAGTTACAAACTACCAGTCAACCATTTGCTCTTAATTTTTTTATATTTCTGTATAGCAAGCATCTGAGAAAAAAGTAACCATTTCAGGAATGCAAAGTCTTCTAGGGTGGAAAAAGTTGTACAACTTCAAAATAGGTTTTTTGTTTCCCAAAAAGATATTTGAAAGCCACTTTCCATCTGGCTTGTAATTCCATCATATATGCCGTGTTTTGTTGATGATCATGAAATGACACATTTCCTGGAGTCCATGCCAATGCTGATTGAAGCTCTGATCTTCTCTGTAAAGTAAGAGAAAATACTTGATTGGTGTGCTCTGCTTTGCACAAAGTCACACTAACTGAAGAGCAGCCAGTCACAATTTAATCACGTGTGCAGGACAGACGAGGGAAGCAAAGTTTGCGCATGTCTTTCTTTAGAAATCTTAAGCCTGACATAAAAGCTTTTTTTCAATCAGCCTCACCCTCAGGAAGGGCAGTCCTGGAAAAGAAGAAATCCATCCCTGCCCTGGCCACAGCTTCCCAGCACCATCAGGGACCTCAACACATCACTGCAGTCTCACAGAGGACACTGTAATGTGCTCTGCATCAACTTACCAGCTAAAGGCTGAAATCCTGCTTCCACCAGATCTTCATACAGATGTTTAACAGGATTCTGATGAGACAGCAAGGTACCATGTAACCAGATGAGCAACATTCTGTTTCCATGTTCCTTGTAACTTTTTTTCCCTATGCAATACACAAAGTATTTGTTCAATATGCTGGAAACACTATTTTGTGCTTTTGCTCTTTAAAACTCCCAAGAGGTTTCAAATTTACTCATTTACCACCTTTCACATCTAGCAAAAAAATGAAGACTTAAGCTTAGAAAAGTTTTTAGAAGTTTTTTAAAAAAACTTGTTTTATCCTAACACTACTCTTAAGACATAAAAAACACCTAATATATGTTAAAATTAATTTTTCCTTTCATTTTTTCCCAAGCTGTGGAAATATACCCTGGAGTAGTAGTAACAAGTACAATATGTGCTGTAGAAGTACTCTTTTCCCAGCACTTGAGAGGCCTGAAACCAGAAATTCCTGTTTCATAGCACCTGTGCAGACAGAGCATTAGCAGAATTGTTCTGTGTCATGAGGTTCTCTGGATCCTCACTTGCAACATGACCCCCAAGAACCTTCTATGATGCTCATGGCTTCTAGTTTTGATCCTCAAAGAGGAAGGTTCCTTCAGGCCAAGAGGGAGAACAGAAGTGTCCTGTACTGCTACAGCACTACTTCCCAGGAAACGGAGACAAGGCTTGTACCCCTTCACTAAGTGATACATTGTTTAAAAAGCAACACCACCATGTGGGGTTCTTCTATATATTATGTTCAGATATTGTTACCTGTCCACTGTTCTTCAATAGCTTTAATTTGTTCATCTGTGAACTTCCAGAATACAGCCAGTTTTTTCCATTCACGGGGTTTTAACTGGTTGTATGCTAAATTCCAAAGGCAGGAACGGATTTGCTTGGTCTGTGTACTGTGATCTTGTTTGAAGGACACGCTGAAGTCTGACCCATTACCACTATGAGCTAGATGTGTCTGAAAAAGAAAGCAGATGATAAATTTTGTAACAGAGCTGGGAACCTTTGCTCAGTGAGCAGTGTCCTGTACAGCTGTAGCCGCTGACAGATGATTTGCTCAGTGCCTCTAAATGAACTGTAAAGCCCTGTAAAGGGCTCATAGAAACAGAACTGAAACAAAGAGTTCCAGTGTCTGTTGCTGTATATTGCTAATTGCAAAATAAGCCACTTTCTCTGTTACTTGATACATAAAAGCAAAGTAACAGCAACTGTTGTGCCAGCACTGCTGTGTTGCTTGGCTCTGTCTGTATGTCATTTTTAGAACACAGCTGGATTTCAGGCTCAGTTCTCACCCATTTTTCTTGCTTCTCAAAGCACTAATCTCTCCCCAGAGAGAGGGTAGGCACCACTGGCAACAGGACCTGCTCAAACTGTTCCTGTCTTTGCCCTGTCAGCTTCACTTGGCTGAAGTGGGGACTTCCAGATCTTTTGCTGGCACCATCAGCCATTAGGTTTTTCATGGGGACCCCCATTCAGCAAAGTGTCTAATCACCAACATGCTCTCGTGTTGAGCATGGATCTAGTTTCATTCCTGCATGAATAAGATCAGATAGACACCAAAACTACATGGATTTTACCCTCCAGATTAAAAGTGATGTTGCTGCTGTATACATGGCAAACCTGAAACAGGAGTGATGGGGTTACCTCAAGCCTTGGGCACCTTGGCAAAAACCATGTCAATCAGTGAATTCAGTCCTAGCTAAGCTGTGCCCAGGAACATTCCTAGTTAGGTGAGCTCCAGCTATTTCTGTATTTCACTATGTTTATGTACTAGTCCTGCTTCAAATCAATCATCAAAGGGAAAAAAATTCTGTATGAATTTGATAGAGGATGACAAAGAAGATACTAAGCAAAAAAGGGAAATGGCAGTAGGCCACATTTTAAAAATGCTAAGCATAAAGTGCTTCATTCCAAATTAAATTCAGAAAAATACAGCAGAATTATTTCCCAATCTTACAAGAGACTTACAGAGAAAATAAGTTACAGTTCAGTAGCTAAGTATTGTCATGTATGTTTGATTTCATTCATCTGATACATACTTTATTTTATGCTTCCTGATACATGCAAAGTAAAGTTTAGGACATTCTACAGGACAACTTCAGGGTGTCTCTGACTAGATCCTTTCCTTGTGATGTTTAATGAAAAAACAAAACAAAAAACTAAAAGAAACAAAAAAAAAACCCCGACAAAACAAAAAAACCTCAAGCAAACAAGAAAAACTCTTTGTAGCAGCACAGCTTCTCTTAGCTACTAAATGTGTTTTGAGGCAATGGCAAGGTGTAACAGCTTAGGATAATAACAGCTGCCCTCATATCCAGTTAAAACCAGCCTGGACAATAATAGGGAAGGGCTGGGTAGAAGTGATAAATAGAGAAAAGGGCAAACAGAGACATGACACACTTTAGTATCATGTGTCCTTCCTCTCAGCTACATGACATTTCCTTTTGTAGCTAATGTTTTGTCAAGAATGATAAGTTAGCTGAATGTAACAAAAATCCTTATAATAATGGTTCAAAATGCTGTAGTTCCCTGTATAACACAACCTGAACAACATTATATTCCATAGGTGTAAGATTTAAGCTGTTCCAAAGGCCACGCTTTCAGCTTCAGCCAACAGGATACAAACACTTATGTTTGTATTTCCCAAAATCTCTGGTGCTTCTGCAGAAAAGCATCTGCTTGACACCTTTTCTTCTCTTCAATTTCAGAAAATTCAATGAACAAGGCCAAGAGGTTAAGAACACTATGGGCTTACTGCTGTCAGACTTGTCATGTCTTCTGTGGCAACAGACTACTTCTAATTCCTCTTTAAGCCGAAGAAACAATAATGTACCTGACAATTCCAGTTGAACTGGTGCAAATCAAATGCACAATACAGAGTGCTCATGGAGGCATTTTTTCAGTAATTAATCTAGATCTGTGATTTACCAGCCCTATAACATTAAGTGTCATGGATCTGGCCACTGAGGACAGGAGTGGGGTGGTAAAACTGGCTAATTTCTGTACCTGCTCAGTATCAGGTGGGATCAGTATGCTTATACACTTGGCTAACTCAGCAGGAAGCAGAAGTGAGAATGAAGTCACAAAATGATATGGCAGTTAGTTGTAGCCTGTTAGAGAGGCCCATCACTATGCAGTGTACATTTAAGTAACAAGTAAGGAAAGAAAGTGTGAAATTCAGACAACCTAAGCCATGTCCTTCACACTTGTTGTGAAGCTCTTTTCCGTCTCATTTATTTAATTTTATAGTTAACACACAAGGAACAGAAGAGGGAGCTCCTGTCGAAGTAGCTGAGCTCTTGCAAAGGAGTCACAGACATCTTCACTCCCATTTTTCAGCTGCAGATTTTACTGTACCTTTAAACATGGATCCAGGAGTCAATGTGGATCCATGTTATCCCAGCCATGATGCTGGTGGTACAGTTTGGATTTGGCTTAGAATGTCTCTCCATCCCTTTATGTGCAGAGCACAAGGCAGGAGAATGGTAAAATCAGCTTACAGTTTTACAGCCAGTCAGGAATAAAGCTTGGATGGGCTAGAGGCTTTCCCATTCCCAATCCTAACTTTAGTTCATCAAGGCTAATCTTCCTGCCTGCCAAAAGGAACCACCTCAACCAAAAGGCACTTCAAAATCAGAATTGGCTTTTCCCTGAGTTATCTTGTGTTTAATGAAAAATGCCTCTTACCTGTTGCATGGCAAAATACCTTTCTGCTTTCATGATCATATCTACAATGAGGGCATGATGGCTCCTTGATGCTGTGGCTAGTGCAGTTTTTCCATGCTAAAAGCAGAGACAGTGAATCAGAACATTATCTTGGGCGTGTCATAGAAGAAACAGGAACTTTTTACAGAGCCCCATCCCTTTTTTTTCTTTTCTTTTTTTTTCCAGGAAAATATATTTACTACAATTTTGTGGCTTTTGGGGAACTACAATCAAAGTTCTATGCTCTGCATAAGCTGTATCCCCTCAGTCCTGAGGTGGTACATTTTCTTCCACACTAAATTCCCCAGTAAAAAATTCTGGTGAGGTACAGCTGCTTTCAGAAACCTGCACTCAGACTGCTGCATGTTATACCAGCTTGCACGTTCCTGTCACTGCCTCCACATTCAAACTACCACAAATACAGTCCATTCCCATGCTACAGTTAAACTAGCATTTCAGATGAATAGGCTGGATAAGTTGGAAATCTCCAACTTAAAGGGCAAACCTGTGTCTTGTTTTAGATGGTAAGAGAAAATGACTCATGGAATGAACAGAAAATCACTTTCTCATTACAGCTGAAAGGAGCACAACTGTAGGATGATACTTCAATGGTATAGAAGGAGCCGTGGTTATTAAAAGCCATTGCTGTAATTCCAGCTGCAGAGGTTTTCTCAGTCTACCTGAACCCATGTCTCCTATCAGCACTTCAATGCACAGGCATCACGGTGGCTCTAAAGGGATTTCTCTGCAATTATCTATTTTCAGCAGATCTGCACTGAGTGCAATTGCCTTGGATTTAAATATTCAGAGTGTTCTCCACATAACAAGTGCTAGGCATTTCTAGAAAATGAGATCTAAGAGAAGCCAATCCCTTAATTATAAGATTCCTAAATTAAATTATAAGGTATTTCCATTCTCCAGATAGTATAAAGTTCCCTAATATACACTCTTTGAGTTCTAGCTCCTGGCTCTACTCAAGATCATTCTAATTAACCTGTTTTTGGAAGAGCATCACACTGGAAGCCAAGAAACATACATTTCATTAAATCTTTTAGGCATAGGCATGTTTTATATGTGAAGAGTCCAGAGACCATGAGAGCTTCTTGGGTTTCCCTCTGGAGAGATACTCAGCATTTGACAGAGGGCGAGAGGAGCAGTGGATAAGGAGCTGTTTCTGTACACCTGGGCTGGTGCAGACACTGCTGGCATCCTGCATGCACATGTAGCACAGCAGTCTTGCACATGGGGAGCTCTCTGTGCACCACCACTCACAACCAAAGATAGTTTAATCTGCCAATGAGATGAAGAGCTCCCAATAATGCATTTCCTGACCTCTGACAAGAACAGATGCATGGCACTCTCTGGAGACTGAGTACTCCTGCTGCCAGGGCATGGAGGCCAGGAAAATACCATGCAATTGAAGCAGGCTCCCTTTCTTCGTGTCTACTGTTCAGCAAGGACAGTGACATTTTTGGCATCTCAGCACCAATTCAGTTCAAAAGGCCACTGTACTTGCGTAAGTTCCCAGCAGTGACATGGTCTCAGGGATCATCCAGGAAATAGGCAAGGGAAAAGCTACTCCAAGAAATAAAACCAAAGCAGAAAGGTGACTTGTACCAGAACTTGTACTGGCTCAGAGCCAAAGTCTTGTAACAAGTCCTGAGCAATATCAGTGTTCCTGTAATACCACAGCACTACCTCGCCCAAAGACTTACAGGTGCTTAAGGTCATAGGCAATAAGGAATTTTTTGTGTCTGCCTTTGGAATACAAATAGGTTGAAAAAATTTTCTAGTGGCTAAGGTGCTGTTTAAAGTGGACAAGATCTTCTGCTGGGTTGATCCCTACGAGAACTGCAGCCCTTTGTCAAGTGTAGGCATGATTCCAAATGGCAAGGCTTAACTACAGTGTAGCATCTTACCTCAGCATCTCAAAACATATCAACCATGCAACTCACACTCAGAGCTCCAGGCCGCATATCAGGCTAGGGCAAAACAAGACAATCCTAATCCATAAAGCTTCACTTCTCATCAGGACAGTTTTGTGCAGGAAAGTTACTTTTTAGAGTTACAAAAGGGCAAGATTTTGCTCATAATTAAACATCAAATCTCTCAACTCAGTCATACAGAATATCAAGAAAAGTAGTAACAGTGTAAAAGGGGACACTCAATCTTGCAGTAATTTAGCAAGATTTGTAAATACTGGGTTTGGTACTCTCTCCTTTCAAAAGCATTTCCCCAGCAACTTTGCTTTGGTACTTCTTCCAGCCGTTGTCATTTTTGCCTCTTTCTTTCCAGGCAGAACATCATCTCAGGGTTTAAGTATCCACCTGAATGGATCTGGAATGTCACCATGATTCTCAGATGACCTGGAGTGCTAAAGGGCAAGCTCTCCATCACTGCACCAGGTGAAGCTGCATCTCTCCTGGCAACAAGCCCAGCTGCAGGTGCACAGTACAAGCAGCCACAAGCTATTTTCCCCTCTGCAAGCCTAGACCTTCTTTTTCTATGAAAGATCTCTAGAAGTAGGGTTTCTCCTTCAAACCACAGAGCTTACGAGTTTTACAGCTCTTCACCAAAACCATTTCAGGTCTCTGCCAGCTACTGGTATGGCAATATTAAAAGACTTCCTTTGTAGTTAGCTTTACTTAGCAAACAGAACTTGCAACATGTGCTTTATGCACCTCTGTAAGGAAGGTGATAAACAAAAAATAAAATCATGTAATCCTTACACGTGTGAGGAACACAATTTACCTTTTCTATGGTCTTGAGATTGCAGCCTGACTTCAGCAGCACGTCCACCAATTCCACATTGCCAAGATCAGCTGCCAGATGTAGAGGGGTTTCCTGCCTCTGGAATTAGAGACACCAAATAAATGCATTTATTCAAACTTGCTCCTAGAAGCAGCATCCTCACAGGCTGAATCTAAAATAGATTCACAATAAGAAGTGACCTTGGTGAGAAAATACTGAACAGAGGGAAATCATGTAACTTTTGGGTGATCTGCTGGTTTTGTTTCAGACAGGACAGTATATGGAATCTCTGCAGAAAAAAAACAGGCAGAAGTTCCTGCTGGCTTAGGAAAGACTTGCTGCTATGCCCCTCTAATGTACTGTTAACCTACAAGCTCACTCTCTCTCTTCCCTCTTAAAGCAAGGTGCTTTGGACAAAGCTCTTCATGTGGCTGGCAACCCACACCCATATATTCCTCTCAACTAACCTTTTCCCTGCTGAAATTCATGCCAGGACAACTGGATATCCACTATTTTCAACAGCACATTATGCCACATCCACAACAGAGCTTTTTAGTCAGCTCTGCCACAAAATGATGGTACACAATGGAAGTCTACCTGCTCCATAATGGGTTCAGTGAACCTTAAACAACACACATACAAAAAAACCCAAACCAAAACCATTAAACAAGGCCAAACAATTAACAAGAAATACAGCTAAAATCGCATTCAGCTTCAAGTAAATCTTTGAGTCTGCAAGGAGGGTTGTATAGTCTCTACACAGCTACATATACCCAAATATGTATTTATTTGTTCTTTTACAGAAATTAGAGTAAGAAATCCAGACAGCTGTGGATGAAGTGCAGCAGCAAATAATGGAGTAACTGTGGAAGCCTTGCATATATGGGAATGTTCCTTAGTATGTTTCTTGGGACACATTATCCTTCTAAGTTGAATGTTTTGTGCCTGTGCTTCTCTGACACTGCAAATTTACATTACATGTAGGTCTGGTTGGAGAACTTCTTTTGCCTTTAGACCTTAATTAAAGGTTTGCACATGGAGAAACTCCAGGCTCAGGGCTCCATTTAAAAAATCTTATCAGTTAATTTTGCAGGTTACACTATGATGACACAATCTCATGTATTTACCTTACTTTTTGATTCCCATAAATAAAAAGTATTTTTTTATTCATACACCCTACTATCTTTCTTGGAGAAATCTGGGGATACTTAAGTATGTACTGTAGGCAACTTCAGGCAAGCTAGAGACAAAGAACAAAATATTTCTAAAAGATGTGTTGAAGAATCTACAGAATTCTCTGTTTTACGTGACCAGAAAGTCTTGTCGTTATACTTTACTCCAGCCACAAATGGCACTCTTAGTCTTCCACAAAAATGTGTATAAATTAATGTCTAGCAATAAAATGAACAGTGGGAAGGGGTGAACCACAGATTTCCCAAAGACTCATCCTTGTTCCTATCATGGGGAGCACCTCCATATGTCATGAGGGAGAGCAAGCTGCATTTCCCCAGCAGAGAGCCACAGTGCCCAAATGGGACTCAACAGGCCTGCTGGGACAGTCTTTCCACAGCTGAGATGTAGGGCTGATGGTGAGTGGGAAGAAAGATTCTCCTTGAAGTGCCACAGGTGGCAGGCCAGCCTGTACACAGCTGGATTCCTGGAGTCTATCATGGTCAGGGACCATGTGAGCTCTGTACAATTCTCTGCCATATGGACCATGGGCACCAGATGTCACTGAGATTTTTGGAGACCTAGTTGTTGGCCAGATCACTGCAGTTCCCCTCTACCACCACTCTCCCAGATCCTGCATACCTTCTGTGGAAGTTTACTTGCCTTGCTGGTTTGCAGTATCATCTTTGAGGAGACACTATGTGTTCATGCTCAGTAAAAGCCATCTTCAGAGACCTATGAGTGGCTGCCTCTGTTATTGATAGTAAAAGGTCTTAAAATCTTAGAAAATTTGGGGACTAAGAAAGAAAGTTAGATTTGGAAAGCCCTGGGAAAAGTAAGCCCTGGGAAATGTTAGGACTTGTGCTTGCTAAAGATCAGGTCAAACTGCACCTGTGTAGTCAGTGTATGATAAATTATACAATTGTTAGATGTGATTAGATATAATTATTGTTTAAAGAACATGAGGAACAATGTTAGGGGGCTGGGGGGGATCACAAGAAATCCACGCTTGGGTAAAAACAATGCATACAATAGAACAATGTAAGTTTAATAATTACTATGTAAGTTGCATAACGATAGAGTATAAGGCATGTTCAACTCAAAACCAAATGGGGTCAGATTTGGGTATGTGTACCCCTGACACCCAGAGCTCTTCAATAAAGCACCTTCATATAATCATTTGTGACTATGTGTGTTCCTGAACGCTAACATTATGATCCCTTTGTCAATCCCTTTGTTCCTAGAGGTGGACCCCAGCAGCTGGGCTTCCCTACCTTCTCAACACTGAGCAGCCAGGTAGCAGTGTGTTTACCTTGCTGATGGATGAATACTTGCTGCCTGCCTATGAGGTCATTCAGAGATGGACACCAGGTAGTTTTGCCTCTGTTGTCATTCTTGTCTTCTCCCTTTTCTGTCCTGCTACAGGCCAGGCTGCCTCTTTTGAACCTTCCCCCTTTTGCCCCTCAGCAGGAGCTGCTGTTTCTCTTTCTAACCAAATCAACATCTACTTCCACATCTCTCTTTGAATACAGGCACAATTATTATATTTGAGGGTGAGGTCTCTAAGCAAAGGTGTGATACCTCCAACTAAGTGAGTTTTCAGTGTCCATATGGTGTCTTCAGAGCTTCTCATGTCCCTTTGCATGCTCCTTGACCAGGAAACCCTCGTTCTCTTTTGGGGACACTGGATGTCAGCTCGGTAGGCAGGGGCCAGATCCAACACAGCACTGGAAATCTTTTAGTTTCATCAGGGCAGGAAAGACTTCCCTCCTTCAGATGGTGTATAAATTACTTGGGGCTACATTCCTCCTAAGGCATGAAGTCCCAAGCCATTGGAGACAGTAAGAGCCTCAGGCATGTGTCCAATTCCTTCCATACATGATGCTACCTGAGAATTGACTGCCTCTGGGAAATCCCTGTGTGGCATTCCCAATTAGCTGTTAATTATTACTCACAATAATCAAAACCATGCTCACAACACACACTACCATGAACAGTGTGATTATTTTAGGATATTCAAGGAACTGAGTGGTGTTACAAGAAGGTGGGAGAGACCTGTTCTGGAGGAGCAAGCAGGGACAAATGCCATTCATTCCTCTTTCAATGAAGTGCCTGTCCAAGGAAGGAGAGGAAAAGGCGTAATTGTGGTTGTAATTGTTCTCCATGAGATGGTCAGTTCACAGAGAGTGGCATTGTAAGGCCCAAAACCACCAGATCAGGCAAAAACCAGTGCTCTTATCATTGCTCTGCCAGGCAAGGTACTACAAAGTGATAGGCAACATAGCAAAACCAGAAATGGTCATTAACAATTATAGGAGGTTTTGTACAGTAAAAATGAGATGAAACATGACAGCATCAAAGTATGGCCCATGTCAGTGGTAGATACAATCTACAGTGAACTGATCTGATCTACAGCAAACTGGACAACAACCAGACCTCCAAAAAACACAGACACCAAGCAGGGCAAAAGAATCCTGGTTATGGTAAGGAACTGTGGATGGGTTCAAACCAGCATCCTTTCAGTTAACAGCTGAGTGTGCTCACTGATGGCATCACAGAGACCTGTGACCTTGTCATTCACTGTTGCTGTGTTGCTCAGTTCTGTCCCCTGCCAGCTCCCTGAGCACCCAGTCAATTCACATGGGGGCATAGAGTGTGAAACAGAGAAGGCCTTGATGCTGTGCAGGCATTGTTCAGCAGCAGCTTTAACAGCACTGTCTTACCAGCACTGTTTGGATCACAGGTCTAAAACACTGCACGTGGTGGGTTGCTTTAAGGAATAAATTAACTTTTTTCCAGCCAAAGGACATTCTGCAGTGGGCTTCCCTCTGAAGCCAATACCAGTGAGACATTTCTGGTTTTTATTACACTTGAACCATAACACTTGAACAATACATTACCAGATCATTTTCTGAGCATTGTGCTGTCCTTATCTTGCTCAAACAATATTAGCACAGCATGTACCAGTGACTAATATATATGTACACACACAAAAAGATTAGGAGGGAACTGCCTCTTCCTTCCTATTTTTTTGTACCCTCATAAGGAGGAGGAGCTCATAAGGAAAAAAAAATCAAGCAAAACCCACATAATCTCCCCTTTACCAATAAAGCTGTGTAAATTCCCAGCTTTTCTTACGTGATTTAAGGAGTTTATGTCGTGATTGGCATCCAAAAGGCTTTTTACTACTGGTAGATTATTACTGATAACTGCTAAATGGAGAGGGGAATTCTTCTGCTGTGGAGGGAAAATAATAAATTGTTATACTTGGGTATATTAATACAAACTCATGCAAACAAGAAAGAGGTTATACTTGAAGCCCACCTCTTGCAAAGGTGACATGCTCTAGCAGAGGTTCAAGGCTGCAGAAAACACAGCTGGATCTGTGGAGTTACACCAGAGGTGGTAGCCTGGTCCTGAAACACCCACAGAAGTGGGTAAATACATACAGCTCAGAAGACTGGAAATGCTGATTTCATGGGGTATGCATCAGTGTGCCACCACTTAGGAATGGAGCAAGACACCCCTCTTAAGTGTTCCTGTCTGGGATGTGCTGCTATCCTGACAACAGAGAGATTAGGGTAATGTTCTTGCTCCCTCAGAAAAGTGGCTTTGCCCTTTGTTGAATAGCCTGGAGACAGACTCATTCTGCAAACTGATGTCGAAATTTACTTAACAGTAAAACTACTTTCCTTGTCACGTGTTGCTGCTGGAAGTGCTCTTCATACTAAAGTGACTTGCTGTCATATTTATAAAATACGACTAATTACAGCTAGTAAGACAGAGGTTTTATTTGAGTGATTTTTTATTAATATAACCAGGGCACAGATGCAACACAAGTCAAAATCCACACTAGGTTGGTAAGATCACTTTGTATGTTGAACCTGTGACTGATCAGATTTTTGTGAAATAACAGCTAAAGAATAATTCCATACCAGTATCATTCATGGTTCCAGGCTCCAGTTCAGTGTCTTTATAAACCACAGCCATTTCTTAAGGGTTACAGAAAAATAAAGCAAGCTCTTATGCAACATTGTGATGGAAACATTTTCAAAATGTAAGTTAAAACTTTTGACTTGCTTCTGCTAAAGAAAGCTAATGAGAACAAACAGCACTACAACTGCCTGAGCTTTAAATAATTTCAAACACATCATAAATTGTTATTCCTTTATAGCTTTCTGCAAGAGGCCAAAGATCATGGCATAAGTCATGAAGTCCAGATTCTATTTTCATCCTGTACTGTAGAAGTGGAAAATAATTACCTATTCATAGAAAATCTCAAATATCTGTAATATCTAAACTGAGAGAGGATTTGGATAATATAAATACTTCTTTTTAAATCACAAAGAATTTTGGCATGCTGATTTTGAAGGCACTGAAGGTCATTTACCGGCAGAGGGTGAAAGCACTGAAGTGTTTATTTACATTTTAGTTATCTTTATTTAAAATCATGTTGACTGTTTGCCCACAGAATACCACTAAGTTCAAGCAGAGCACTTTGCTCTTCTCTGAATGCCTGGCTTAGCCTGGGCATGTCTATTCTGCACTGCACCAGCCTGCTCAGGCACTCACTGGGTTGGCAACAGGGCCTTTTCTCTATTGGTCTGTACTTGTTGCTAACCGACCTTGAGAAACCAAGTAATAATGTGTGTAGGAAAAAATACAAGGAGCTGCTCAATCTCATTCAGCTGTCAGAATTTCCATGGAAAGACAGGACAAGAGCAGTAGAGATATTCTGATAAACACTCACCTCAGGTTTAGGAACCAGGTCAATATTCTTATCAATAAGAAAAGTAACCAAGGATAGATGTCCATTTTGAATTGCAATCTGCAAAGCACTACTATTGTTCTGAAAGAAATTTGATAGACAAAAAACCTTGTATTTTTATTGCTGAAAAAAACAATTTGAAAGAGAGGTATAAATACAGAATAATCTTGCATTTAAATTTGTCTTCATATCCCCTCCACCAATAAAACCTTTTGACAAAATGATACAAACTGAAGTGGATCAGCAGTTGGCATGATATTTTTGTCAACAGTGAAGGAAATTTTTACTATATCAAAACAAACACACTGAAGAACATCAGTATCTCATAGCCCCACCCAACTTCTCTTAAAAAAGAGATCGTCATCATCATCTATACTGTGGCATGGACAACAACATTGCCAACAGGTCTCCTACTCAGCTAGTTTGTTAGACCCTTGCCAAGCATGTACAGCCACATTAGCCAGTAAACCATAGAACAGTTAATAAATCAGTAGAAAATAAATTAATAGAAAATAAACTTTTAAAATTTATTTTTTCCAAAATATTTCTGCTTAAACAAACAAGCTCTCATTCTGCTGGAATCATAAACTTCTTGCAGCAGGCCAGCCGAGGCCATTCAGCAGGTATGAGTTGGACTGCAGCTCAGGAATCAGATGCAGAGAGCAAGTTTGTCATCAGATCAGTCACATACACTGCCAAAAAGGAAGATTTTCAGTTATCCTAGTTGGTTACATTTTCTAGTCACATGTTGTACCAGTGGGCATACAGGAAATAGAAAGCTCCACCACAGTACTCTATCAAATAAAGCTAATGCTATTTTTCTTCCACATTGCTTTTATTTTGTTAGTACTCTCTACATTCTCCATTCTACTTTTTTCCCCATTTCATAAAAAAAAAATGAGAGAAAATATCCTTTGTTAGTAAGGTCCTTTCCACAGTATATCCCACTAGGAGGGATACTGTGTACATACCTGAGTTGAAACATTGATGTCACTCCCTGCCTCCAGTAAGAGTTCTGCACATTTTTCATGACCTCCTTCAACAGCCAAGTAAAATGGAGTTTCTCCATTCTAGACCAAAGGAGATAAAATGTCTGTTCCAATTTAAGACGTGTGACTACAATACCGAGACACGAAACACCTACAGTATGCTCCACCAGGCTCATCCAGCTCCTGAATGTCATGGCTACTCACCAGCAGTCCAGATGATATTTATTTGGATATCCAGATGATATTTATCTGGACAGATGTATAGTAAAGTTTACAATACAGAAAACTATTCCATGAATAAAATTTCATAAATTTAATGGAAGTTACTCTGGTATTTCAACAAAAGAATCAGTAAATCCCAATTATTCTGGTAAACTTAATACATTTTAGTACTTTGCCTGTGCTATGGGAGGAGAGATCTGTTCATACCCAGACCACAACATCCCCAGCTGGACAGGAAGGTCACACCATTAGCCATGCCAAGACAGGGGCACAAGCAGCACAAGCTTTGTGTGCAGAACCAACATTCTTAGAAAAGCCTTGGAAACACAAGGGCTCCACATTTCAGAGGGTTTCACATTTCAAAGAGGCTTGTGTGCCCCACAACAGCACAGCTGAAAATAGCAGACAAGTGGGATAAGTGGGGACTTCTTAACTCATCAGTGTGTCACTGATAAAGGAAGAGAAGGGCCTTGGGTAGGAGCTACTCATTTTTCCCACTGGCCCAGCAGAACAAATCATAAGCCACACACATGGCAGGTTCCCACAGTGTGCATGCCAGTCTGCAACAAAGGAAATTACCTTGTCCAGGTTGTTCCAGAAAGTTGAGAGAAGAAACAGAAGAGACAGAAGAGACACAAACCCTCTGCAAAGCAAGAATGCTGACATGAGCAGTTACTGTGCACTTCCTTCCTCCACTCCTTGTTTAAGCCTTAAAGTGAAGCTCAAGAGTGCATTAACTATTATTATTATTATTATTATTATTATTATTATTATTATTATTATTATTATTATTATATTAAGGGATACAACCTTCCAAGCTAATTGCTGAATATGCTGGCTGAGCTCACCAACACTAACCTGGGAAAGCAAATTGGGTAGGCAGTGTCTGCAGCCAGTTCTGTGCAACTGGGTTCAGAGGACAAGATACCAATCTGAGACCCCTCTGCCAAGGTGACTGTGATGGTACTGCTTGGTATCCAAGTCAAACTGGCTCAATGAATAGGCTGAAAAGCACCAGAAAAGCTTAAAAGTGAGCTGTTAAAAGGAAAGGGATCACATGGCTAAAAGTGCTGGATGACAGAAAGCAAGGGAGGTTAAGGCCTTCCTCTGTCCTCTTCTGCCAGTAGTTACGCAAGGGCTGGCCAAATGCAGGGGAGGATGTGTGTAAGGGATAGAGGACAGAGGAAGACACTGAAGGAGTTAATGTAGGTTGATTTCTTGGACAAGGAACAAAAAAACAGGCTGCAAAATTACTAGGAAACCAGCAAGACTAATGAAGTCTCCTCAGTGCCACATCTCTTCCTTTCAAATTTGATTTTTCAGAAAATGTTTCAAATCTCTAACTTTACTTCTTTCAATAGTTTAGTGTACTTACCTGATTGAGGTCATTTATTTCCTCCCATTGTTCAAGCAGAATTTCTACAACTTCACTGTGACCATTTTTGGCTGCTAAATGCAATGCCGTGTTTCCCTCCTTGAAATTAAAATGTTAAATAACCTATTTTAAAACCCAGAATAAAGACATTAACTAAAACCAACACAAAGCCTTTGGTCTTTCTTTCAAGTCTCTCAAGTCTCTCAAGTCTTTCAAGTCTCTCTTACATACAAGGAGAGGAAGGCAGCTACACACAGCATGTGACAAGACTCAGCCAAAAGTTGCTGACCTAGCTCGTTGTCTGAAAATTTCAGTGCATACCAGCAAAAAGATCTGAAATTCTAACTCCTAACAAATGAATCAGAAGAAAATTTCAGGTACTGGTTCCCACAAGGCTGGGTACTACACTGAGCCCCCGAGACCACTGATTTAAAAATAAAAAAGTCTAGGTCAGCATTTAGAAATTTGTCATGGCTTTGATATCAACATTGCAATCTTTGATCTCTGTCATGGTCAGTGCAATTTCTTTCCAGGAAATTAAGAAACACAAAACAGAAAAAAGCAAATAAGAGCAACTAACAACATCAGGCAGAGCAGCAGGTTTTGAACTAAAAGAAAACACAAGCATACAAAATAGATTAAAAATGGCTAAAAAATCAGAAGAATTCCAACTCTCAGAAAAAATGAGAGCCCAGAATAGTTTTTCATTCACAGCATTGAGTGGGAAGATGTGGGAATCCTTCTTACCACTGATGGTTACAGTGTGACTTGGTTTGGTGACCCAGGAGATAAGTTTCTGTCCTGGCTTCTTACCTAATTTGCAGGACCACAGCATTTACCTCCGGGTACTGTTGTCACCTTTAACCTGCTAGATGTCTGGGACAACACTATCTTTCAATCTCTGCTGATAAACTGCTTTGCACAGCAGAGTTCTGGGTGGTACTGCAGCTTTTAAACTATTACCAGAATACCAAAAAAAACCAACATCACTTCCTGAGCTCTCACTTAAGTGTTTCTGTTAATGCAGTATCTGACAATTTGAAAATTTCTAATGTATTTGTCCTTGCAATAACTCAAATGCAGAGAAATACTAACTTGCTCGTTCCAGAAATAGTAAAGTAAGGAAAAATAAATTTAAGAGCAGACTTTGAAAATTACTATGATACCTTAAAATATAGTGTCAAAGCAAACTCAATCAGATTGAAGTGTTAAGGTACTGCTGAAAAAGCATTTATAGGTGTTTATTTGCATCCTGAAGCTTTTAAACAGCTTTGAAAAATTGGTCACACAGTGACACACAGACACAGACAGAGTGAAACCCTGGGAAATATGATGTCCCAGAGCAGAGGCTGACACCTTTTTCCCCAGGCTTTCCCGTTTCTCCTAACAGACAGCATATGCTGCTTTTGCTTTGCATAAATTATAAATGTGTATGGAGAATCTCCCCACAATCAGCCCTTTATCACTAAAAAATCATCATCCTTTTATGTTTGTTGGTACCATATATCACCATAACATCTGTGCAGCGCACTCAGGTATTTGCATAATAACAACAGTGAAACAAAATAATCTTTCATAAACACATTTGTAGTTGTACTTCTGCAGAAAATAAACATTTACCTGATCTTTTTCAGATGTAAATAGCTTCAGAGCAATCAAACTTTTTATCATGTCAATGTGGCCTTTTTCACAGGCCAGAAGAAATGGCTTTTTACCTTTCTAGAAAACAATTATGGAAAGAAACACAGTGTTACAGAAAGTAAAAATATTTTTCTTCTAGTTACTAGATACATGGCATGCATATGTATATGTGTATCCTACATAAAAATGTATATATCATACGACTAAGGAGTTTAACACAATAGTAGATACACAGAAGAGCAGTAATAAAAAAATATACTTAGTGTATATAAACAGATTATAGACCTTGCATATCCTGAATAAAATATATAAAAATTGTTTAGAAATGGTGAAAATGTGGAAAATACACTCAAAATCTTTTAATCCTATTTTTTCTCAGTATGAAAATATTTATCGAAAGAACTGTGCAATTATAAGTCTAAGGATTCTCAGAAACAGGCACCAAAGAAATTGCAAGATTTATTTCCATGGGTTAATTTGTTTGATCCAAATTCTGGAAACAGAGACCAGGACTGTCAGAAGTTTCATCCAGGAGGCCTGAATTTAGCACTGTACATTATAGGGGGTTCTGGTGGTGCTGTAACTAACAAAAACTTTTCAAACCATTTATGAACTCACCTGCAGAAAGATATCTTGACACAAAACCATGCCTATAGACATGTCTAGAAAAAGAATGCATGCACCTAGTAGAGAATTATGATGCAACCTCAACAGGTGGTTGAGAAAGTGCTTCCTCATCTTTCCTTTCCCAAGGCCTAAATCTTCAAAGGTACATTTTGTTAAATTAACCCCGTTTTGTCAGATTTGTCATTTGCAAAAAGAATTCAGAATTTTGCACCCTTGAGTCAATAAAATCCAAGAAACTTAGAAAAAAAAATATGGGAGATTTGTTCTTTAGGTGTCAGACCTCACAGGAATAAGTTTTCCTCATGTAAAGATAAAATATCTGAATTAGCTACATAGCATTTCAAAATGAGTTCCCAACAGTGTGGAAATTAAAAATAAGAACACAGAAAACCTGATGAGGGTGAGGCACTGTTGGAGAGTCAAGGCACCTCTGCAGGATGGCTGCACGTAGTTCTATGCTCTGGATTGATGAAACATGTTGGCCATAACTGGCAGGTTTTGATAAGGGCAGGGGCTTGTGAAGATGAGCTGTGTGGGAAAGGTCAGAGGCTGCTCTGTGCTAGTCACAGACATTTCCAGCTGGCTCCACAGTCCACCAAACTGTCCCATGATGTGCCAGCACTTAACCCACCATAGAACCAAATGATGCCTCTGTGAAAATGTACTTAAGAATGGCTGGGCACTGCTGTGGGGAGGATGCACAAGGGGAGATGTTGTAATGCATTATGTTACCACGGAGATACAGGAGGAGACACAAGAAGACACAAGAGAGGAGACACAGGGGAAGGAACACTCACAGGGTGACTGCAGCCCGTGCAAGAAGCTTTCTGGAACAGAGGAAAATAGTAAGAAGCAAAGAGCAGAAAAAAAGGAATCCACTGGAGACTGAACCCAACCTCCTCTGCCTCCCATTGCCCTACCACCACTAAGCATCACATGCGGCAAAAGGAAGGACAGTAGAGAGTGTCTGCAGTCCAACTGAAACAGACAAAGAGGGAGGAAAGGTGTTGCCCCTAAGTGCTCGTCTGGCTGTTTCTTTTACCTGTTTCCCATTATCCAAGTCAGTAATTAAAAGTATATGCAACTGTCAATAGATTAAAATTCATTGAAATTCCCTGAGATTGTTTCCCCCAAAACAAAAGCCTCATGACATCAAAGAAATAAACAAACAAACACACTGTACCCCATCAGGTTTGTTCAAGTCATTCAGATGAAGATCTTGGAGGAAATAATCAACTATTTTAATGCTGTTGCTCTGAGCTGCAAAATGCAGTACATTCATTCCTTCCTGTAAAATAGGAAGTGAATCTGTAAGAATATTGGATTTTTTTTCCAGCATAAATATGTTTAGGGTTGGTAAAAATTTGTCATCAACAAACCTCATTCTTAGCCTTTTGATCAGCACCTGCTTTAACTAATTTTCGCATTATATCCAGATTTCCAGTCCAAGCTGCAAGATGAATCACTGTCAGGCCATGCTTTGAATAAAATGACAAAAGAAAGAAATTACCACCAAAATACCTCAAGCCAAATTTCTTTAAATCTTTTTGATTGATTCAGTGTATTAGTAGGCTCCAACCTGCAGGCTTTTAGAAAAGCAATATGAACACCTGACAGTGTGAGTGGGATTCATCTCACTTAAATGAAGCTAGATGCAATACAGCAAGACCTGTATAAGATAAATGTTTGACCTCTTTTTGACAGAAGGTCTGGCATCTCTAGAGAAGGACTGATCCTATCTTAAGACAGAGGGATTAAGTCCTACCTGGAAATTATTTTCTCTCTACAGAAACCATATAGATAGATAGCCCTGGGTGCAGTGAATGACACTGCAAGTGATAATATACAATGATTATATTTCCATGAGTCACCATAATTTTCCATTTAGGCTTCTTTCTAATGTTCTCGCCTCTCAAATTCTCTAAAAAAAAATTTCTCTCATAGGAAGAGAAGAACACTGTTTTTAACATCTTAAAAACAGAAGGACAAACTCTGAGCTGGGGCAGCTTCACCTTGAGTGCTGGGGGCAGTTTTGGGTGCCACAATACAAGGATAAAAAGCTACTGGAGAGTGTCCAAAGGAGGAACACAAAGATGGTGAAGGACCTTGAGAAAAAATCATATGAGATGCAACTACTATCACTTGGTCTGTTCAGCCTAGAGGAGAGAGAGGGGAGACCCCATTGCACTTACAACTTCCTCTTGAGGGGAAGAGCAGGGGCAGGCACTGACCTGGCAGGACCAAAGGGAATGGCATAGAGCTGTGTAAGGTGAGGTTTAGGTTGGATATTAGGACACCTCCTCATATACCATGTGCTGCACTTCTAACCATTCTAGAGTTTCCTCATGGGACTCACTCCACTTTATCAGTCTTTTTCATATTTGCAGAAATTGCAGTGGAAAACTCTGGAGGGCAATATGGAATATGTATCTGGTATATAATATGTATAGATAATTATATATATATACTTTTTTTATATATATGTATGTATATGTATATGTATATGTATATGTATATGTATATGTATATGTATATGTATATGTATATGTATATGTATATGTATATATGTATGTATGTAAGTAAAATATACTATATATACAATAATATTTTAATAATAAATCTGGGCTTCAGCAAAATTTGTGGCTGTGGCCCAAAAGCCTGTCCTGCAAAACCTTCTAAGCGATGAACAGCTGGAGGCCAGTCACAAGCAATGCCCACCAGGCATCCATCCTGGGAATGTTATTTAGTATCTGCATTAATGACCTGAATCATGGGCAGAATGTACCTATAGCAAGCTTAAAAGATAATATTAAGTTGGGAGGAATGGCTGATAGACCATATTGGTGTGTTGTCATCCAGGAAAACATTGACAGACTGGAGAAATGGCCAGGCAAGAACACAACAAAATTCAACAGTCAAGTGCAAAGTCCTGCCCCTGAGGAGGAGCAAACCCAGGCAGCAGTACCGGCTGCAGATAACTGCCTGGAAAGCAGTTTGGCAGAGGAAGACCTGCAGCTCCTGGTGCACATTAAGTTGAACATGAGTCAGCAGTGTGCGCTTGGAACACACAAGGCAAACAATATCCTTGGCCGAATTAAGTAAACACTATGACCTGGCTTGTGCTCACTCAGGTATTCAAGTTATCCAATACTTAGGGCAAAAATGCTTTTTTCATATAAATATCTGCAGTTCAAAGACAAACCAGAGTTTTTACTGCAAGGTGTTAATTTTGCACAATTGAGAGCACAAGAAAAATATCTACTTTTACTGTTCTTCAAAGGTGTTCCTATACAGGTGAACCAAAATAAGTAAACCAGCTTACCTGATCTGCCATGTCAAGTCTTGCTTTGTGACGGAGAAGAAAATCCACCACGGACATATGGCCTCCCACAACAGCAAAATGAAACGCTGTGCGCTTCAGCTGGAATAAGCAAAGCTTTGTTTGTCAGGTCTGTAATACTGTTCTTTTCCCTGTGCAGGTGGTCAGGACTTTGCAATTCTCTGATTGTTACCAAATGTACTGTTAATGCATACTATTTCATACTTCTCCTTCAACATTCACACTTGATCTTTATCTACACATTTTGTTTTGTTTCCTTGGATAGAATTTAGATATTGATCTTAGAGAATTCTTGTAAAAACAATGATTTTGTTAGTCTACATAGTATTGTCCCTCCATTCAAATGTCAAAATGGGAATAAGTAGTCAAATACTGCATAGGGGAGGTGCATGCAGTACAAGAAGCATCCTTTTTGTGTAGTAGTTGTAGTAGGTGTAGTTTGAATAGCTGAGGACTATATGTACACAGTTAGATTTGCTTTTGGTATCCTCCTTGCTTTTGACTAAACCTCTTCACTGCAAGCCAAGATTTCTCCCTCAGAGAAGATATACTCAGTGTTTGTCATCTTCCCAGACTGAGTCATCATCTACGTAAATAAAAGTTACCACCTTGCAAACAGTGAGTAATTTTACAGAGGTGAATGGGCTCAGCACTTCCCAAGTGGGAAGACTTCCATAAAGTAATTAGTGGTATATATTTAAAAGGGATTTGTTAAATTGAATCAAATTTTATTCAAGAGAGTTTTGCTTTCAGTTAAAGTGGACATAACTGGGTTTAACGTAAGTTTCTGATAGTTTCCATACAAAGATGTCTAAGAGATTTAATCAATTAATTTCAAAAGTCAGTTTGGATTTTTCTTCTCTGAAAGATCACCTGACTTAAATTTAGATTTACAACTGTATTCATCAAAATAAAAAATTTCTTTATGACATGTATTTATGTCAGAAAAAAGCCTCTTGTACTATAGAAAGAGTACTATTAAAAGCTGATCTTTTGACAGCCTTTCTTATTTGGCTTGAGGGTACAGGGGCAGAAATGATCAACATTAACAAAACAAATGGCTTTGCCACTATAAGCTACATCCCTACTAGGACAATCGATCAAAGCACAAAAATTCTGCAGCTATGCTAGTAACTCTCTCATCCTATAGGTCACATATAAGGATGATAGAGTAAAGTTTCTAACTACTTGACTGAAAATGTATTTAATTTAACTTCCTGATTTCTGGAAAACAAGAAGGAAGAAAGAACTATTTTTAAGTGACCTTTTAGTGTATAGTGCAATTGATACTCTCAATATTCAAGAAAAGCGTGCTCAGAAGACATGTTTGTCTCCTTGTCTGTTTCATAAACAAATCAAGGAACGCATTATACTATCTTCTAAATTCCCCAGTGGGTGAAAATGCATGTGGGTATGGGAAGCAATTCTTTTCAGAACCCAGAAAAAGTAACATTTGATACTAACAAGTAGATGATTTATATGTAGCCATTGAGAGGACACTTATGCAAAACTCACAGATTAATATGATTTCTTCCTGCTGTTGAACTACCTCTCATGTGGAACACAATGCTGTATTTAGCTACTGTGAAGTATACATCCTCAGATTTTAGGCCTAGTGTTGAAGTCAGCATAAGAAATGCATTCTTGTGTGTCTAGGGTAAATCTGAACAATGAGCTCAGGCTGGAAGCAGAGGATGTTGGAGAATGCTGCCACGGTTCCACGCAAAGCAAAGAGTAATACTTCTTTCTAGAAATTTGTAATGCTAGCAGCATTAATCCAGTCTTAAAGTGACTGTGAGGTAAAGTCATCCCACTCAGAAAGGAGGAGATCTTGAGAAATCAGTCACCAAAGAGCTATGAGGAAACACTAGAGCAGGGGCACAACTGAGATGCCCTTAATTCCCAATGTGATATACTGACTACTGCAAAACCTGAGAGTTATGCTGTACAAATCTTAATGTCCAAAACGGCCATATGAAATGATTCTTCATCAGGTCCTAGAGAACACTTCTGCAGCCTCATCACCTTGCACCTGTGTAACCCTAAGGAGTCACCCTTCATATCAGTGATCTGTGTCAGGCACTTCATACTCACAGTATCTACGGCATTTATATTAACATTCTTTTTAAACAGTTTTTCCATGGTATCCAGATTGTTCATTTTAGCAGCATATTGAAATTCTCTCTCATCTGGCAGTACTGTGGAAAAACATAATAAAAAAGAAGAATTATTAAAAAAGTAGCCATAACCAACATAAGGAATGATGATACTGTTTATACTTTGTTATCTATACTGATTTAATGCTGTGAGAATTACTTCTTGTCATCAAAGCATTTAATGACTACGTTTTTCTGCTTTAGAAACATCTGACTGATATTTCTAGTTTCAGCTTTAAAGTGCAACTAAAGGGAGATATTTCACAAGAGTAAAATTGGATTAATGGTAATTGTAATATGGATTACCAGAGTTTGCATTCACAGGAACAATTTGTTTATGAAGCTCTTACTACGTAACTGTGTCCCAAGTTACTGCATAGGCATAGCAGTGAATAGTACAAACTGCAGCATTAATTTCCCATCCTTTAAGAAATTGTTCTTGTTTTAAAACACGCCACTGAAACACAAAGTACATAAAGCAGTAACCAAACACTGTGAAATTACTGGAAAAGCAAACCAGAATAAACAAAACCCACTTTTAAACTGAGACCTTCCTTTAATATCTCAATCCAAAAATTAGCATCTGTTTGGTCAGCTAAAGAAGTTGCAAGGCATATTCAGTAACTCTGAAAAGTAAAATTACAATATCTGATAACTAGTTTAGCTGGAGGTCATAAGATTTTTCATGTTTCTACCATAACAATTAATTAATCACTTAGAAGAAAATTGTGTAGCAGTTACACCGGTTGCAAAAATGTTAGTAGATAGTTTTAATCCAATAGCTTGTCACACTTAAAATATAATTATGCCTTCTATCTTCTGTCTAGAAAAAAGATGTCTGTCTAGAATATTTTGGGCTGAAGGCCACTTGTCCAAAGATATCACCAAGGAGGCACCACTCTGTTGGACCAGGAACTACAGGAATTATCTATTCCTTAGAGCCCTCTCAGGCAAGTTCATCCTACTGCATTATGTCTAAGTTCATTAATGCCTAATAAGGACACAACTTGAGGCAGAATGGCTGCAGAGCACACTAAGGAAAATCAGGATGGCATTCACTTAATTGCATTTTATATGTTACCCATGGCTATAATTTCAGGGAGAATAATCACATTTTTACTGCACAAAATAAATCAGAAATTAAATTGGATACTTGCGAAGGTGTTTCCAGTTTTCCTATGAAATTATCCAAGTGCCTCAAATAAAAGAACTATCCTTCCAGACTTCTCTGGGAATCACAGTATATGTGTCATTTGTATGACAACACGCAGGCACAAGGAAGAAAATAAAAAAAAAGAAAAAAAGCATTTGCAAATAAAAATGCACTCCTGCATCTGTGACAAAGAGCACGGCTGACAGCAAAATCACTATTATGGACAGTGATCTTAGAAGAATAAATGCCTCAGTCCCAGTTTTCACAGTTATTACCCCAGGAAGTATCCAACAGAACTTCCTACTAACTTGATTTTGAACTCAGGTAAACCAATGGTCAAGGCAAATTTATGGCAAATGTGGGAAAAAAGGTACAGCACTAATTAGCTGCAATTAATTATAATTAGGCCACATTCATTCCTGCTGACTGCTCTATCTTACGTGAGGATGCAAAGATAAATGCATCTCAGGATAATCAGGAACAACCCCAAGACTTTATTCAACACTGCCCTCAAAAACAAGATAAAATTATGTTTTTTTACTGAATATGCACCAGCAAGGACCTTAACAAAACAAGATAAAATTATGTTTCTTTACTGTACCTGCATCAGTAAGGACCAGCTTAACAAAAGTTATACAAAAAATAAAGTGTTCTTTTCTCTCCTGTCCAGAAGCCATGAATTGGCCATGTGCTGCTAAAAAGACTTTTGCTCTGTGCATTATATTTCTTAATATTCTCTCTCTCTCTCTTAATACTTCTTAGTTAAGAACCATACAATGTAGACACGCTATGACTCTGGTTTGTTGCCCAAACTTTTGCTGCTTTTGCGAAATATCTTTTTCATGTATGACATTACAGGAGTTCAGAGCTATCAGATTACAACCTTATGGAAGCCTTCTATCCAAGCAGGGGTCTCCAGGATTATTCCTGCTGTAACTAGCAATTACTCTATTTTCAAGTAACAGCAGCAATCAATTATCTATGTGTGACTACCAGGTTTTTTAGTGGGTATTTTCTTTGGCACCATACAAAATGTCTGGCTTATATAACTGCATATTTATACTATAACAATTAAATAGTTATATTCAGATTTCCTTTTAAGCTAACTGAAGTTAGTACTTTGATTTCTTTTCCTGATACAGCTGGTCTCATTCGTAGAGAGCCCTGCCAGCAGTATATTGAACATCCCAAGATTTTTCATCTCTTGGAAGAGCAAGGAAGTAATTAAAAGTGCAGAAGAGCAAATTGCTTTGTTGACCTCTAAACAAAAAGTGACGTCCTTTCAATCTTTCAATCTTTTTTTTTTTTTTTTTGGTCTTATTTATGTCTTACTGTAGAGGCATGTCCTGGGGTGACTTTATGATACTGCTATACCCAGTCATCTGGTTTATGTTATATATTAAGTTCTGCACCTTTAAGACTGGCTCTGAGAGGACAAGGCCTCGTTCTTTCTTTCAGGAATAACACAAATAAGGAGGATTTCCAACGAATTAAAAAAATGCAGCTGGTGTTTCAGCACTTATAGGACAGTGAAAATCCCTACCTCCCAGGTCTGCTTTTAACTTCCTGTTGTGGTGTCCACAAGATGAAATCCACAGCTATCTTAAAAAACATATGGGAAAACAACCCTAGAATTTGAATTGGCTGAAGAGGTCCAAGGAGGTAAAAAAAAAAAATCAACAATATTTGGATTTGAATGGCAATAAAAATAATTTTACCATATTGTTTCTAAAAATGTAATCATATATTTAGGGGTCTGGCAACATTTTCAAAGTCTTCTCTGAGTTTTCTTTTTATTGGAAATAAAATTACTAGAACAATGTAGGGATCTTGTTAAGCCACTAGGATTTTTTTCTAAAATAAATTTTCCTTTTCAAAGAAGTCATGGGGAAAACTATTACTGAGTCCAACTGAGTCCAACGGTAATAATTACTCATTAGTTATTTTTCTGCCCTCTTTGCCGACCTGGGAACAAGAACCACAGCACAAGATAGCGGTTCCTGGCTGTCAGGCTGTTATCACAGGACTAGGGTGAAGCAGGGCTTGGCAACTACCACTTAATTTCCACAAATCACCAGTTTTCACTAACTGCAGTTCACGCCAGAGTAATCTGTTTTTTCACAGGCTGGTTTGCAGGTTGAAGGCTGCAGACCCCATCACTGGGCTGTGTTTCTGAGTGCAAGATCCTCTGATTTCTGTGTGCCCCCCAAAATGGGGGCAGATTGGCTGTGCAACTGGTTGCAGATCTCAGCTCTAGGGACGTGACTAATACCAGCGAGCCCTCTCAGAGCAGTTCGAATGGAAAGTTAAAGCAGAGCAATGGGCATTTTGCAGGACTTGGCCCTGGAAACATCACATGCCAAAGCCCAGCTCCCAGTCCCACATCCACACATTTGCTGATGTCTTCTAGCAGATATACAATAGCTCATATTTAATGTTGCCTTTTCTAACCCCCACCGCTCATTTTGCTCTCCGGTCAAGGCAGAAAGCAGGTTTGGCTGGGTCCCAGCAGCCCTGACGGGGCCCGGCACGCAGCCTCCAGGGAAGGCACCCGTGGCTATGCTGGCCGCAGCGCCGGGAGCCCGGGACCGCGCTGCCCGCCCGGACCGCGCTGCCCCCGGGCGGCCTCGCCTCCGACCCCGCGGACTCACGGCCCTCGTGGCTCAGTGCCACGGCTGCCTGCGCGGCATCCTCCCCGGCGCGGAGCAGGCGGCTCAGGCCCTTCATTGCTGCCCCGGGCTCCCCTTCCTCCTCAGCCAAGGGAAAAGGCCCCAGGCTCCAGGTGCGTCGAGGGAGGTGTCCTGCGCTGGCCCCGACAAACCGGTTCCCAGGACGCCAGCACACGCAGCCGGGCCAAACACACCCCTGCGGGCACACCTGCACAGCACCCCACTGGTGCCCGGACACCACCGCGGGAATGGGCAGAACTGTGGAGCACCTTTAGAAGCTTCTTCTAAGAGAAACCAAGCACTAAATAGACTGCATTTCTCGACAGTGGCTAGGCACTGAACGGGATCCTTGCCCCATCCGATCCCCCACAGGTCTTCCCTAGTGGCTAGCCTTATGTGCTAGGAGCAATCAGCACCCTCAAGCGAACACGGTACAAAAGGCAGCCCCGTTGCCCCAGGCAACTTTTGAAAAGCCATGCCATAAGCACGTGTGTACAGACACACAGAGGTATCACAGCTTGCATGGGATGCCTGGAGCCAAGTGCATGTGTTACTAACTACTCGGTAGTCATGGAGCTCTCTGTACAGGTTGAAGACCATCTGGGGGAATTATTGTCAACTAGTGTTCACTGGACAGGAGAGGGTCACCATCCCTGCACTCCTGCATGCTTCACACAGCCTTAGGATGTGAGAGACAGATGCTTCTGACACAGATTTGTGCATAACTATGCACATGTGGTAGCAGTATTGATCCAATCACAATTTCAGGTAGAAAATGCTTGCACTTGCTTTTGTCCAAGTCCCATGAAAATCAAAACTTATCCCAAAAGGTTCAGGTTTTGTGAACTGACATCCTGAGATCCATCTAACCTACCTATTTCTCAACTCATCTTGAAGTCCACTATGACTTTGGTCTACTTAAGCCAGAATTGGCTGTGTCCTTTCACATAGACAACCTTTTCCACAACAGGGAATGATTTTTTTATTTTTTTTTAAAGTGACTATCTTGAATTTTACTTTAAAAACATACTTTGATATTGCTATTCCAAAATAAATACAGGAAAAGTAGTTCCAAGAAGGCAGAACCACCAGTATTAAGCCTCACTCAATTGTAGACACATTTTAGTTCCTTCACTGTAATTTTTTCTTAAAATACACAATCATATTAATTTCCAAGATTACTAACACCATACCTGTGCATAATAAAACTAATCTAAAAGACTCAAGAGTATGTAAACGTAACAAATTTGGATTCAAAAATTATTGGCTCAGATTCTGCTTACCATAGATAAAGAGATTTCACAGTTCTTATCTCCTTTAAACATTTTTGGTATAAAGAGGCTGCGATGTATAAACATCTTTACAATTGATACACTTCAATCTGACAAGACAATTTCAACAAGTGTACTTCCAATAGGTGAATGTAACTCAGCCAAAAAGAACAAACAACCCCATGAAAGTAAGCTCAGTGAGAAGAACAAGCAACTGATTTAGCCAGAACCGAATCATGGAAGTTTCACTTTTACTTGCTTCTGTTAGTCAAACGTTCCAGCAATTTCTTAAAAGGAAGAAAGGAAGGTCTGTATTACTATAAGTAATACAGACCATTTTGAATGTTAATGGTCCTTTTCAAAATGAGTAACAGATAACTATGGAGCGATCGGGTTTGCCAACAAAGCTGGCACCAGAGAAGGGATAGATCTGCAGTCTCATATAGAGCATCAGTTACAGTACAATCATAATTTTCAGTCAAGAAACACCAGCTGCTAATTTCCTAGTTTAGGTCTAATTACTAATACACAATACTAGTTCACAGCATATCCTGTGCTTAAACATTATACGTAGCAAGTTTAGCACATTCTCTAACCACTTCCTACCATCTAGACCCTTTCAAATGGCCCCTGGAGAGTGCAATCAGACCGACACATGTTATAGATACAAATTATATTGTTGACTTTTTGCAAATATTAAAATGAATGTTATGTGTATAAGAATGGAAACATTTGTTGTATTAATATAGTTTTCTTTATTTCTGTTATTGATGAAACTTAGAAATAATGGTATAATACATATATGTTAGGCTATGGCATAGTATTAAAATAAAAACTGCTTTTGTTTGTATAACCCAAAGACTGAGAAAAAAAAAATAGCTAGGGAACTCCTGCATTTGTAAACTATCTTATCCAGATGAAGACAGCAGTGACCAGAACTCTGGGGGGAGGAATTTATTGCATTTCTGGTATCAGGCAATGTAAATCTCAAT